TTGAAATATTAGGATGGTTGTGTGTTTGTAATTTATGTGAATATTGACAAGCCTAAAGGAAGGTAAATATTTGGCAGAATTCATGCACACATTTGTAATAAATACTAGACAATTATAAAGTTTTTTTTTTTTTTTTATTCATGTAACTATGAATCGATCCAAAGATAGGTTTATTGTTTGACATAATTTATTGTCAATATTGATTACTACACTAAGAGTGTCACTTACAAATAGGTATTTCTGTCCAAAGACTAAATATCGATCTTTTGCTCCGTATGTTGTGGGGTCTACCATAATTTGAATTAATTGTTCAATACGGATTCTATTGTGAACAAATTTCTTTGATTTTGTTCTCTATTCAATTGACTCTTCTACTTCTTCAATCTCTACCAACATCTCAATTAACGTGCTTAATAGAACCAACTTTAAGGACTGAAAAAGAATGTTCAAATCGTTCTTAGCTACGTGGACTTAGACCTTACGCTAAGGACTGAGTAACTTGTTGTATTTATGGATAAAAGTTTTGTTGATGATCATTGAAATCGCATATGATCATGAACTGTAGAATTCCAAAATCATTCAGGGGTGCTGTGTCCGATATGGTAACTATTGTCAAGAAATTTATTGATGAAATTGAAAAAAAAAGCTTTGGGAAAAGCGATTAAGTCGAAACTAGTACGCATTTGGCAAACTTGATTTTACTAAAATATAAAGGTAAAGGAAACATTCTGAGTACATTATGCAGATGTCTCATCATGCTTCAATGCTAAAGACCCTAAAGTTAGAACTATTTGATGATTTGCTCGTACGTTTGGTTTTGATTTCTCTTCATGCACAATTCAATCAATTTAATGTTAGTTATAAATGTCAAAAGTAGAAGTGGACTCTTAATGAGCTCATTTCATACTATGTATAATAAGAAGAAAGATTAAAGCAAGACAAAATAGAAAGTGTTCACTTGGCTAGTACCTCTAAGGACAAGTTCAAGAGAAGAAAGAATAAGGAAATTACATCTTGTCAGGTCAAAAGAAACAACCAAAACTTGAAAAGGATGAATCATTTGATTGTTATATTTGTGGAATTTCGGGACACTTAAAGAGAGATTGTACCAAATACGTTTCTCACTTTGGTTTGTTCCGAAGTTAATTTAGTTTCAGTACCTAAACATACTTGGTGGATTGATTCTGGAGCAAATACTCATATAAATGTGTCAATGCAGGGTTGCCTGAATAGCCAAAAGCCAAATGATATTAAAAGATTCATCTATGTAGGTAATGGTGAATCGAAGGAGCATCCCTATCAATAATTATCTAGGAAAGGGTTGACCTTAAGGTTATAAGGATTTTTAGATTAATATTAAAGATTGATTTTTATTTGGATTTGAAGGAGACTTTTGTGGAACTGTATTTTAGACAGAATTTGATTTTTATTTCTGTGTTGGAGAAATNCGTGTCATCATCCTCTTAGTTCATACATCTAATCCTAGGCATTATTTTTGACTTGTTAGCGTGCTATACATTTACTTTTACTCATTCTAGATATCCAATTAGTATCAGTAATTCCTTCTAATACAATTGGGAATTTAGTTTATTATATGCCTAAATTCTTGGCTTTTTTCAAATAGTTAAGAACTATTCCAATGGCCTTCCAATGATCGTTATTCGGATTACTAGTAACCCTACTAAGGCCCCTATAACATTTGCATACTCCAATTGAGCAACTGATATCTCATCATTCTTTATAATCTTTAAACTTGGATCAAGGGGTACTAAATCTTTTTTATGTTTATTAAATGTTTGAACTTATTTATCACATTATCAATATGATGTGATTAACTTAAATAGTAATCCCCACAAGTTTTAATAACTTTGATACCTAAAATGGTATACGTTTGTCTAATATCCTTCATCTTGAATGTGAAAAATAGAAACCTTTTTGTTTCTTTTATTCCATTCATGTGATTACTCATAATCAATATGTCATCAACATATAAATAAATAATGTAACATAATTATCACATAATTTGAAGTACAAACATTTATTTACATTATTATCGATAACTTTTGCCTACTAGTCTAGCCTTAAAGGTATTAAGAGAACCATCAACATTGTATTCTCCTGAACACCCATTTACGTCCAATAGGCTTGGATTTGGGTGGGAAATAAACAAGTTTTCATGTACTGTTTGACATAATTGAATTCATTCCATCTTTAATTGCATCTTTCCAAAAGGCGTTCACACGAGAAACCATAGCCTTTCTCTAAGTTTTGGGATCGATTTCTACTTGCAAAACAAATGGAGTTGTTTTAAAGACTTCTCAATTCGAGTTCACTAGCATAACCAACATTTGATGATTTTTTTTAACTAAAGTTCTTTTTTTTTCTTTCAGTCAAACCATTTTGTTCGGGTGTCTTAGATGTATAATATTGATGAATTACACCCTATTATTTACAAAATGAATCAAAATCACTCGAAAAATATCAATCTCTTCTATCATTTCTTAAAGTTTTTATTTTCTAACTTAAATGATTTTCAACTTCATCCTTATATGTTTTATACATGTCAAAGGCCCCAAGTTTAGTGGTGGACAAAAACCAACCCAAACCGATCCAACCCGAGCGGTTTGGTCGGTTTTTGCAATGAAATGGGTTGGGTTAGGTTTATTTTTTGCCCTTTTTTGTCGGGTTGGGTCGGGTTATGGGTTAACCTATAAACCCAACCCAAAATTGCCCACCTAACCAATATAGAAATGTAATATAAAAAAGGGAAGAATACATAATTTAGGCATTAACTATGCCCAAATTCAATTTTAAGAGAAAATGTTTAAAATTTCAAAATTCAGGTTATAATTAACGAGTATTATATATAAAATAATATATTATATATCTAGTAAATATCCATCCGGATATCTCGACCCATTCCAGTTCCTTTCTTATTCTCTCTCTACCTCTCATTCTCTCTCTCTCTTTCCCTGTCCTTTTTTCTCTCCATCTTCTCTCTTTAACAGCTAAGCTCGTTGTCGGCATTCCTCAACAGTGATCTTCACTGTGCCCGACGAGACACAACATCGTTAACTGCATTGTGGCGCGTGCCTCTATAAGGCGGTCTTAGAAGTTGCGAACTTGGTGGAGGTGGATGTGGAGGTCTAGAAGGTGGGTGTGGATTAGGTGGAGGAGAAGGTGATGGTGGTGAACTGGGCAATGGAGTTGGCGATGGATTGGGGTTAGATCTGGAAGTGAACTTGGTGGAGGAGTAGGAGGCGAGTGGCAACGCTAACAATACGACATGTGAATTGTTACCTGTGACATGTTATCTATCCATAAATATATGAAAAATCTGATATGTGACCAATTAATATTGATCTGTGACCTACACAATATGATTTGTGACATGCAGAGTGCAACATTGACCTGCAAAACATAATCTGTGACCAATACTATATGATTTGTGACTTGTGGACATTTACCTGTGATGTATGTCTAATGACCCGTGACATTGTACATGTGACCTATCACCACCACCTACACCAATACTAGATATAAACATAGCATTTGACATACACTCTATGAACATGTCACCACCACCACAAAGCCATTCATTTATTATTTAAGAACGAATATTTTTTATTGGTTAAAATATCGATTTTATTGGTCACATTCACAAATTAACCCAATTAATTGGTCACAGTCACCTACATTATTGGTCATTATACAACTGTGACCCCTACCCAACCTAACCCAAACACAACACTATAACCACCACCATCTGCACCTACATTATTGGTCATTATACAACCCTAACCCCTACCCAACCTAACCCAAACACAGCACTATAACCATCACCATCTGTACCACTTCACTAAGATTTTCCAAGCAATCTACATTGATAAATACATTACCACATTCTGGGAAGCTTTATTACTATTAGTATTTGAAGAAAATCAGCAACTTAAAGCCCCATTTTCCCCAACCCATGATGGAAAATCATTCATATTCATAAAATGAAATTGACATTTACCACTTCTACAACACAACAAAAATATGATTAGAAAATCAACACACAGTAAAAAGTATAAGAGAACAAGAGGGAAGTGGCATACCTCGTTAATCAGCTAGAAAATGCTTCAAAATCTAATAGAAAAGGATTAATTTGTGTGTGGTAAATCTGAGGTCATGGCTTTGGTTTGACGAAGGGAAAAGAAGTAGCGATGCCATGGTGGCGAAAGGAACTCCGCCAATGAGAGAGATGAAGAAAAAGATAGTGAATTTAGCAAAATGTAGATGGAGATATTTCTGCAAAATATTAGCTGGATTATGATTTTTTTTCATAATTAGTAGATTAATTTAATTTATTAATATTATTATTAATATTAAAAGTTTAATTATAACCTGATTTTTGAATAGATTAATTTTAAACCTAATTTTTGTAGTTAAAAGTTAAAAACATGTGTGGATGTAATTTCCACAATTATTAATTTGTCATGTGAGCTTTCATATGTAATTAATTGTATATAAATGCTATCTTAAAGTTAAGCCCGATCTAATAAATAATTAAAGTAATAGGGTTTTGGACATCTAAATAAAGTGTGAGTCTAAGTATGTGTAGTGACCATATTCATTTAGAATTGTATTTCATGCAGACGAAATACATATTGAAACTTTATATAGAGTTGCGGTCCCTAATTCATGTGTAATTTCTCATTCTTTATGTCATTCCATCAACACAAGAATACAAGAGAAAACATATTTAAAAAGAAGATCCAAAACTCACAATCAAAATCAACAATCAAGAATAAAAAACAATAATCAAGAATTAAGAAGAAAGGATTAAAGCAATTAAATTGAAGAGCAAGGCAATTAACATTAAAAGCAAGAAGATAAATAAAGAGGGGATTGCAAGTTAATTTTCAAAATTAAATATTCAAGATACAAAGTCATGGATCAAGGTATACTTTCTTGGCAATTCATTAAGTTTTATAAAGTTTAAGTTTCATAAATATTCAACAAGTGGTATTAAGAAGCAGCTGGTCCTGTCGATACCAGCGTGCATATCGTGCCACAGCAGCAGGAGATGACGCAGCAGTAGGTTTAGGAGGGCACTTGTTTGTGCCATCCAGGTATCCCATCAAATCATATCCAATGAGAATGGTTAGGAAGGTTGCACGCCAGGAGGGATAATTTGAGGATGTGAGTTTGTATGGCAATTGGTTGGAAGTGTTTATGGCAATCAATGAAAGCTCGGAGGAGTCTGAGGTTTGTTGAGCCACTGGAGGAGGAGTGGAATTCACACTGAGGGACGACATGGAGGCTGGGAAAACTTTCTGTTCTCGTGAGAGAAGAATGCTCTGATACCATAAAAGGTTTACACAGATTTGGCAAAAGTGCTTACATATTATTCTAGTAAGTTATTTTTATATAGTACACGGGTTAGCTAAGAAAGGAATATTACAATCAGTTGACAGAATGAATTTTCTATACATATAATTTGATTGACAGAGTAATGCCTGCTAAATATTCCTCTAATCATGTGATTCCCTTATAGAAGTAATGCATTTACCTCAATTGAAGTGGCATCCAAAGCCCAAACCAGTGTAATTGAGATGAGGTACCACGATCTACTACGATCCATTCATGAAACACTAAACCTTTGACTCACAAGGCATCTTACATAGTTTTCCCTCATCCAAGAAATCATTTGTATGAGATCTTTCATACAACTGATTGATTTAATGTCTTTATAGCAGAGATGCCTTCCAGCCACATTGTCAATCTACTTTTCAGATGTCAGACCTAGATCATAGAATGGTTACTTTTTTAGAATCGTTAAATGTCATCCTTACCTTGAATTGCATATGTGACTCCCATGATAGTTATGCGTCGCCATCAAATGAGGTCATGTGTCATTCATCCAACAATTACCATCTTTCTCCTCTAATATAAATCTCAGACCCAGTATCTTTTACATGCTGTGGGAAAAATAAAATGGATCAAGGTAATATATATAATACTATATGAAGTCTATGATCGCAAATAAACAACAAGATAAAAGGCAAAGAATTTATTGACAGGGAAACCTAGTATTTTATTCAATCAACAAATATGGAGAAAACAAATATAATGAATGTGCCAACACAATTATTATATATTTCAATAATACAAAACTTGTGAAAAAAAATATAGTATTTAAATGGTAATCCCAAACCCTAGAAATACCACAAAGATGAAAACAAAATCAAAAGTCACATGGAATAAAGGAAATATATTTTTTCAATAAAAATGAGGGGAACAAAATAAATAATATTTTTCCAATAAAAGCATGTGGAATAAAGGAAACAATATTTTCCTAAATAATCCAATCTAATTTTAGTCGAAAATCCAACAATTTCCACATTTATACAAATTTCGATTCAACGAACCAAACACCAAAATTTCTCCACCTGAAAAAATAAATCCGACTGCAATGAAAAATTTGAACTCTTCACCAAGAATCAAACTTTATCTAACACAAAAATATTCTTTCTCTTCCACAGTATCCAACACGGATGCATGACCCCAAACATCGAGTTCTCCAAAATTCACAAAGAATTAAAAATTACCAAATAGTATCGAAGCACATTCTATATTAAAATCAACTCCCAATGCTTTCATAGAAGACACTTGACTAGTCTCAACACCTTCAAAAACTCTAAAAGCATGTGCAACCGGAGCAGCATTCACGTACCTATCTCTAATGAATCTATCTCTAGCAGTTGAATACAATGGAACTGAATGTAATGGTAGCAAAGCGAAATTATCCAAATCCTCCAAACTTGACTGAGTATTATTTTCCAATATGGACATCAAATGAAACCTTAAAGGTATTGTATCCAACTGAATCTCCACTACGATGCTAAATCTGTACTGACCTTTCTTCACAATTCTGCCTGACATTGCAAAATGTATAACTGGGACATCTTCTGTCCATCCAATACAACACAAACACCATTCTGAACCCTCAAGACTCCACCACCTTCAGAAAACATGTACCCTTTTGCATATAGAGTACTCAACAGAATGAGATTTTTCTTTCAGTCTAGAATATGTTGAATGTGATTAAGCATTTTACATGTTCCATCTCCCAACTTCAATTCCGCTCTACCAATACCAACTAAATGATAAGGTCCGTTGTTACCCATGACAACGATACCTTGCATCACCGTTTTATATGTTTCAAACAAATTTCGATTGGGACACGTATGGAATGCACTAGTTATATCTAAAATCCACTCCTCGTCAAGTTTGGATTTCATATCAAAAATCATCAAAACATTTCCATCACTGAAATAATTCTCGGCTATGTTGGTCTTGTCTGAAGTATTCAATTGCTTCCAATAATTTGCAGTCAAATTATCTTTCTTCGGCCATTTGTAGCAACCTCTATTAATGTGTCATTTCTTCTTATAATAATAACAAACATGATAACTAAAATTTGATCTCGACTTATCCCTTCTCTAATCACTATAAACAACAAGGCATTCTCCATCTTTGGCTTTAGATCCAACTAGATGCTTCATCTTTTCTTTTGAAAATAAGGCATCGTATGCATCTTCAATGGTGAGAGTATCACGACTATCTAAGATAGTGTCTCTGAATGAAATAAACAAAGTGGGTTGCAAACACAATTTGTTTGTCAGAATTTTAGACATGCACAAATACTCCAAACTCAACCACAATGCAGCTGTCATTTTCTCCTTCAAAACGTTTTGAAGAATGTTGCTAGAGAGATGAAAATGAATCGATGAAATTGCCTTTCGATCCTTCCAATGTTTCTCCTCCATCGTTCAAGTTGTGTGCATTTTGTTAGATCCCAACACACTTCCAAAGCTATCTAAATGAGTATAACTCGCTTATTTACTTGTCATAACAAATATCTTGTATTGTGATCTGAGAGCGAAATTCCATGCTTCATGGCAGCCATCAATAACAAAAACCTCGTACAAATCACAACCAATAGTTTAGGTACCACTTGTTAGGTGGTCTTAGTCCTTCTCAAATCCTAAAAGCTATTTCAAGAGTTGAGATTTTTTCTCACACTTATGAACTAACTGCCAGCCCCTTCTATAGATGATGTGGGATAACCTCAACAGATTTCACTTCATTTCAAAGATCGGGAAATGTACCAAAGTACGGGTTAATGGTGTGAAAAGCGGATTAATGGGAAAGTTGAAGGAGTATTTAAAGGCAATTTGTCAACATGAAATAGAGTTTCTGTGGCTTAAAAAAAAAAAAATCTCAGCCTTTACTATTATCTCCTCTGGGGATGTCAAGATCGTGAATACACCAATCGAGTTTGAAACAAAGAGTTTCAACAAAGATTTGTTGAGCTTGGATCCACCAGAATTGTAGCTTTACTGGAAGTCACGGAGATCTAGTAATAGACCAAAAGCAGGTTGTTGAATAAAGGGACAAAGGAAATAACTAGTTAACCAATGAAGCTACGTGACGACAATTCATGTATGAGATAATTGCTAACTACAGTAACTTCCTCGGAACCGTATGCAATAAAATATTTGTCATGAACAGTGGCTTGAATTCTGGTATCAAGAAATGCTCTGCAAAACCAAATTCTCACTAGCCATCACATAGTACAGAAACCATTTGTACAGTGAATATAGATAGCATATAGGTTGTGAAATTAGGATTGCATGGCCTGTGAGATTAAGTGGAAATGAGATAGAAAAATCACAAAGGAAAAAGAAAATGTAAAAAAACCCTTAAAAAAATATTAAAAATGAAAACTAAGAATCAAAATTAACCTTTGAATACTTATTAACATTTTTTCATGATCTTCAAAAAATTGAAGTATGCTTCCAAGGGTTTATTTATTGGGATGTGAATTTCTAAGCTGTAGACAAATTTTAACTCGATTGTCACCAGGGACGGAGCCAGAATTTTTGTATTGTGAGTTAAAAACAATATAACATTAATGAAAATAAATCAATATATTACTACAGTTGTAGCTTCTACTTCGACATCCTATAAAAACACTTTCTAGCAGTACCCAAATCGCCACATTTGGCATACATATCAAACAAAGCAATGTCAATCATGATACATGGTCCCAGACAGTACCTAACAACAAAGTTATGAAACCACTTCCCCTACTGGTTAGCCCGAATGAAAGCACAACCTTGAAGAAGGGAGATAATGATTATTTAATCCGAATTATGGCGTGCTATTCTCATTTCATTAAAGAGATAAGAATCTTATTTAAATTCCCATTCTGTACATATCCAGAAACTATTTCATTCTAGGTGAAAATATCTCTTTCATTCGTCGTACTGATAACATCATAACTCTGCTTTAAACGGCCACATTTTCCATACATAATAACAAGAGAATTATATGAAGGAATGTCTGTTACCATTCCCTGCTTTAACATGTAGCAATGTACAGAAATCCCTAGTCTGATGGTGCCCAATTGCCCACAGGCTGCAAGAACACAGGCCATAGTTCCAACTCCCAATTTTTCTAAATTTTTCTTGGAGGTTGATTAGGATTCGGAGAATTGATTCTTAGTGATTTGTTGTAGTGAACAATCATTTTATAGAGTTACCCCACCAAAAATTTCTATCATTTTTGCACTTATATATTTTTCAATTGACTGGTGCAAAACACTAATCTAATCGAGACTAACATATTCTTATTAGTTTGTCGTACAATTGTCAACTTTATTAATTATAGTACTCCAACTCTAATTATTATTTAATCAATACTTTTAATATGATCGTAAGATAGTGGTTAATCTCACAATATTAATTGAAATTCGACTCTTCATTAAATTTTAGACATATCGAATTGATCATTTAAATTTAATAGGTGCTAAATTCTATATTGGAATGTCTAACTTTATTTTAAAATACAAGTTTTAGAAGCATATACAATTTTTATGCCAAAAATATTTGATCAACACTACATATCAACTTTTTTTATATAATTATTTTCATAAAGATTACAACACTGAAATGCTTTTTTTCTTGTATTGTTTACTCTGTTTTCTTGATGAATCATTTGTACTTGTACATTTAGTAACTCCACTAGCAATACTCAACCAATTTATTAAACATGAACTATAGAGCATATCCAATCAAAGTTTACTACTTCGACACTCGATATAGAAATTAATTAATTCGACACAAAAATAATAAACTTGATATAAATTATCAACACATTGCATATTTATGGGACCAGCCCTAGGCCATTGATTCATACTTGGCTCTATCAGTTTTATACATGTGAGCAATTTCTGGAACCAATGGATCATCTAGGTTCGGGTCGGTCAGCAACGAACATATCGAAAGTAAAACTACACCAAACAAACAATATTTGCACTTAGAAACAATTTTAACAAAAACACTACATTATTAATTTCCATTAAATTCATAAATTTTCACATGTCTAATTTTCCGTGAAGGCCATGTGACAATCATAACAAAGATTTGAACAATTTTGATGATAATGAATGATTTATTGGATGGTATCGGGCCTCTCTCACCCTAAAAGCTAGCTCAAAAATTGAGGTTTTCCCTCACACTTAGAAACTGAATATCAATTTCATCCATAATCAATATGGGACAACCTCAACAATCCCCCCCTCCCCCCACTTCAGGCTTTGCGGGAGACCAAACAATCTCCCCCTCACACAAACCCGTATTTCGACGATTGTTGGGTCAGAGACTTGTTGATAAACCGGGCTTTGATACCAGTATTGGGTGGTATTGGGCCTTTCTCACCCCAAAAACCAACTCAAGAGATTAGGCTTTCTCTCACACTTGTAAATTAAATACTAACCTCATCCACAATCGATGTGGAACAACCTTAACATGATTGTACAATTATAAAGAAGCATGGGACAAGAATATTACATTTGATATGGTGAGAGCGGGGCTCCACTGATCCTTTAGAATATCCAAGCAAATATTACCATTATTATTTATATTTGGATGGAAAACTTTTGTCCTGAAGGCAACTATTTTAATTTGGAATGAAAAACTTTTTTCCTGAAGGCAACCTGCTCATCAATTTGTATCAATATTTTTTTTCTTTTTAATAATTAATAACTAAATGAAGAAAATAAATTAATTTGATTTTTAATTTAGATATGTACCTTGGGAGGTTTAAAAGGATAATCAGGTGGGAAATGGATGGTAACTTGGAAAACACCTCCTGCATATGGATTCTCATTTGGCCCAATTATGGTTGCTTGCCAGTGAAACATATCTTGTGCCACCGAACCTGGATTTAATATTAAAAATAAAGAAATAGGAATATATCGACTCCGACTGTTGTACATGGATATGTCGATGAGAGATGTGATCTAGTTTTGGACCTATATTATATACTACGACCTGTATGATGATGAGAAATTGAGTTCTTGACTGACATATGGTGAGGCTTAACATGAAAATGACACACCATTTGAACTTTATCTCCCAACTTTTTGGGCGGATTTATTTTTCAACGTTGTCCTCTTATTGATGGGAGGTCATGTAACGATCTAGGTCTCGTGTCCAAGTCACTAATTTATGTACTATTTATTTTGAGAGAGTGTAAATCCATTTTAATCTTCATTGATTTCTATCGTGTTCCCTGAAATTGGAAATCAAGACCTTTGCCATACGAGATATTTAAAATGGGTTTAGACTTTCTCAAAGCGGACAACATGTAATATTATTAGCGCAATTAGCACTAGAATTCAACTTAAGTCACTCATAAGAAAGATGTCTTGAATTTGAATCTTGTGGGATAGAAATCTGTGAGGGTAAGATGGCTTAGGCTCTCTCAAAATAAACAGTACATACGATATAACGGTTTGGACGCGAAGCTCAAGTTGTTGTAGGTCACGCTATAACCAAGATTGTATTTTGGTTTATTTGTATAATTAATAAGTGTCCTAGCTGTGATGGTTTGATTTTAGAAGAAAAATAAAAATGTAGGGAATACTATTGTACATAAATTAAGGGAAAGACGAACGTAATAAAAGAAATTTCAAAATTGACGTGATCTTGACAAACTGTGTCAAAATCTAAAAGGACTTGTTATTGACCTTCAAACTTTAGTTAGTTTCGAGCTTCAATTAGATGAACCATGAAAAATAAGGTTAAAGGTAAGTTGGGGGAAGTAATAGGTACCTGCACTGCAGGAAGTAGGAGGGTCTTTTTGCAATTCCCTGAGGTCTTTGAGAATTCTCCTTGATGCCATTTTGATTGGAGGAAGGAAGCAGCTGAACTTGAATTCTAGGACACTTTCTCATGGAAGAAATGAGGTGCTATATATATAGAAAAATTGAGAGAGAGAGAGAGAGAGAGAGAGATTCAATGAACTTTCTTATCAAGTGGGCACAGAACAGATTCCAATGAAAAAAAAGGTAGGAGCCAACAATTTTCCAATATGCTCCCAACATGAACAATAGTCTTAGTCTACTGGTTTATTCTTCATTTGGTCTTAAAGATCTTTAAAAACATTGGTCAGTCATCTACTTTATTGTCGAATTTTATTCAACCTTTGTTCGTCAACCATTCTACCACATTATTTTTTCTAGAGTACTCATTTTCAACCACACATTCTTCATTAAAATAATATTACACAAATCAAAAACTTTTCATTCTTTTTTAACCACACATTTCAACATCAATCACTATTTCATAATACACTTTTTGAAATTAAAGTGGCATAAATAGGCTCTCAGTATTATGTCCTAATCATGTTAAATTGGATAAAGAAAAGCAAAAAAGCCATCAATTCACTTCAAACTTTGTACATAGTGGAAAATCTAGCTTTTCGTGAAAGGATTCGTAATGGATTTTCGCCTCTGCGACCAACTGTCAGCCTCACCCCATTTCTTGAAATTGACAAAAAGAGATGCGATTGATAAGAAGCAATGGTCAATTTTGACTTTCAAGCGTCTAATTGCCTCTAATAAGGGAATCTTATCTTTTACTATTTCAACGTACAGAATAAAAATAGATATTAATAATAAGGCGGGTAGGTAGCTTGATATTAATAATAAGGTAGGTAGGTAGTTCGAATGTAGTATATAATCATGGGACACGCAAATGTTCTCATAATTTCTTTCGAGTGAGATCGAACCCATTTGATTACCTATTTTGATCATTCTACATATGGCAAATGCATGTTTGGTGGTCGTGGACAGTCGAATCACTGTTTTTAGCAGAAACGAAATAATTATCGTTTTATTTTAACTGAAACGATAAATATGTAGTTTTAGTTATGATTTAAACTAAAACGATATCAACTCGTCAAACTTGTGCTAAAACGATAATGATATTAATATGCATCAAAATCACAAGTAAAGTAAAGACATTCATATCGTTTTAGTACAAATTTGACGAGTTGGAAATCATTTCAATACAAATCACAATTACAACGATATAGATATTGTTACTTTTCATATAAAACGATAATGGTATCGTTCTGGCAAAAAACAACAATTCGACCGTCCACGGGCACCCGTCGTGCCTTCAATATAAATGGGACAATCAAAAGAGGTCATCAAGTGGATTGATGCTACTCGAATGGCTTAGAAAGAGTGAACAAAGATACTTTCTGCTGGAATAGTTCGAAAGTTGTATGCAATCATGGAAACACAAATGTTCCCATAGTTTCTTTCCAATGAGATCGAATCCACTTGATTGCCTATTTTGATCATCTTATATATGTCAGATGTATGTCTGGTGGTTGTGGACAGTCGAATCGTTGTTTTAGCAGAAATCATATAATTGTCGTTTTACTTTAACTGAAACGATATATATGTAGTTTTTGTTATGATTTAAACTAAAATGATATTAGCGTTGTCAACTTGTACTGAAACGATAATGATATCATTATGCATCAAAATCACAAGTAAAATAATGACATTCATATCATTTTAGTACAAATTTGATGAGTTAAAAATTGTTTCAATACAAATCACAATTACAACGATATAGATATCGTTTCTTTTCATATAAAATGATAATGGTATTGTTCTGGCTAAAAACAATAATTCGACCGTCCACAAGCACCCTCATGCCTTCAACATAAGTGGGACGATCGAAAGAGGTCATCAAGTGGGTTGATACCACTCAAATGGCTTAGAAAGAGCGAACGAAAATACTTTCTGCCGAAATAGTTTGAAGGTGGTATACAATCATGGGAACACAAATGTTCCCATAGTTTCTTTTGAATGAGATCGAACCCACTTGATTGCCTATTTTGATCATCTTACATATTTTAGATGCATGTCTGGTGGTTGTGGACAATCGAATCGTTGTTTTTAGCAGAAACGATAAAATTATCGTTTTACTTTAATTGAAACGATAAATATGTAGTTTTAGTTTTGATTTAAACTAAAACGATATCAACGTCATCGAACTTGTACTGAAACGATAATAATATCATTATGGATCAAAATCACAAGTAAAGTAATGATATTCATATCGTTTTAGTACAAATTTGACGAATTTGAAATCGTTTCAATTCAAAGTACAATTACAACGATATAGATATCATTTCTTTTCATATAAAATGATAATGGTATCGTTTTAGCTAAAAACAATTATTCGATCATTCACGATCACCCGTCATGCCTTCAACATACGTAGAATGATCAAAAGAGGTCATCAAATGGGTTGATACCGCTCGAATAGCTTAGAAAGAGCCAACGAAGATACTTTCTGTCGGAATCAAAGGTCTTATATAATCATGAGAACACAAATGTTCCCATAGTTTCTTTCGAGTGAGATCGAACCCACTTGATTATCTATTTCGATCATTTTACATATGTCTGGTGGTTTACTACCAACCCAATCAAGAAAAAGCACAGTTCCTATGGCATTTCTTTCAAGTTTGTTGAAATTTGCAATAGCAGCATCAGCATCAACATCTTGTAGATCTGATTTGGAGAGGCGGATTGGCCAGCAACTGGACCAAGCTATTATTGAAGACATTCTTATTCCTGCAAATCTGAACGGAAACAATCACTGCCCGTTGTATGACACAGATTCAGTCCTGAGGATTTTCTCTATTTTCTTAAATCTTGATGAGGATGATGAAGAGGATAATCATCCAAGGGATGAAAGTGAGATGGTTAATGACTTTGACATCCTTGGATCCCCAAAGCAAAGCTCGATAATTAAGGTGTCGAAACTCTTGGACAATTATCATGCGGAAGTAGCATTGGATTCAAACTTGACTCCATCAAAGTTCATAGCACTAGCAGAATTACTTCCAGACCATGCTTGTATGGTCTATGATGGACTATATCGAGCTGTAGATATCTTTCTCAAGGTGAGATGAATAACTCTTTCAATCTCAAACAATAAATAGCTATAAGCAGGTTCAAGCTTTTCAAATTATTGGATAGGCTGCCTAGGGACGTTGCCCATGCTAGCCTTAATAAAATAAATTATGTCTTTTGGCTATGTGCATTTTGCAATTTTCATAGAGCTTTCTATCTGCAAACTGAAGAAAAGCGTCCAACATGAGCCCGAAAGAGGCGACAGGTTTGTGGCTGAGACTTAATAATTTTTTTTGAAAGATATGGATGATATGGATGCTTTTTGGTAATTACCTAATTACAAACACCTTGCCTTGATTTTCAAAATTTTAGAAACCTTCCATGAAGTTTGCTTTTGATAACATAATCTTCTTGTAAGCAAAAGGTAAATATACATTTCTCACTTTACCTTCTGTACCATTTTGAAATTATTATTTTATTATATATTTTTTTCTTTCTTAGTATTGATCAAGATGTACCTCCTTCATGTTTTTGATTTAGAAATGAGAAAGGTAATTGAAATAACAATGAAACAACCTTTCGACTTCCTTATGGAACAAGGCTCCATCTGGTGTGAGAACTAGTAGAGGTGGGTAAAACTTTACAGATCCCGCCAAAACCAACCAAACCAAACTGAACCGATTTGGGCCGATTTTTTTCAATTTTTAGGTGATGATTCAGGTTATAGGTTGTTTAGGCGGGTGGGTCGAATTGAGTTGGTGATGGAAAAGCTACCTACAGATGCTTTATACCCAATCATTCTAGATAACACTTGCATCTTTTGTCTCACCCCTCCGAAAGAATATTTTTTTATAGACACACAAGAGCCGCAAGAGCGGTATCAAATCGAGGCAAACACTGAATACTAGATACGACCTCGATAGTAAAGTAATACTGTGATGGAATGGTGAAAAGAGCCCCATTGGGAATTAACCCATCAAAATCGATACAACCTGCCCAATTGACTCGGTTTGTCAAAAAGAAAAAAATTAAAATTAAAAAAAAGGAACGAAAATCACACAACAGAAGTCCTAAACTTAAACCGAGTCTCTCATTCTCTTTTGCTCTTCCCCAAAATCGTGAATGCTGACCTTCATTTTTCAGTTGCCGACGTTGGTCATCAATTGTCCATTGATAGTCAGTACTAATTGTCCTCCAATGTCCGACTAAATCCCGTTTGAAGTTGATGTTAATAGTTATAGCCAATAAGTTTCTTTTTTTATTCCCACAGTTTTCTTTGTTTGCTCCATTTTTCAAGATTTCGTTGTTAGATTGCATTAAATTCCTTATAGATGGTTTTTGCTATTTTAATTTCATTATATTCAAGTAATTCACAGAATGTTGAATGTTGGATAGTTTAATTTTTCTTAGATTACTCCCAGATTTTATTATCTTATAATGTTTGAATAATTTGAAGATACAATTGTTTGCTTGAGAATGTTTTATCTTATTATTTTAGGGTGAAATGGAGTAATCTTTAAGGAATTATCTATCTCTTTTGCTGCTACATTTTTTGCAGCTAGTGCAGTTTGACATTTATTTCATTTGTTATACAAGCTCTCCCTTCTAGTTTTGCATTTTTTGCAATTAGTATCAATTGCATCACTTTGAAGTGAATATTATTTCAAAGAATTGGTCATATATTTGTATCTCAAAGTTGATTTGATTACTCTATCAAAGGAAAATTACTTGAAATGGACTGTGTTTTTTATTCTTGTTCATTTGGTTTTGTGTGGTACTTGTGACTTGGATATTTACAGTTTTGAATGGGTATTTGGATGATTGTTTTGAAGAAATTTTATTTATGGTTTTTATTGTCCAACAGATCTTTTTGGTCTAAAATCTAAACTGACCAACCCAACTCGACCGAAACTTAATTGGGTTGGGTTGATTTTAGATCAAATCGACCATGTTATGTTGGGTT